GAGCATCAGCATAGCCTTTGAGTTAAGGTGTGTGCTTAAATAAACACATTTATTAATACTTTACTATGCAGATTGCACTGCAAAACAAACTTCACATGAAGCTATCAGCCAAAAAATCTTCAGATGACCGCTTTATTAGTTGAACTCTAACAGGAACTTCTGTAAAACTTAGAGAACTGAGACAATAGCTTATAAGATACATGTACAACTGTTCTTTTATCAAGCCCGAGGGCTCTTGAAGCTTTATCTAAACAAATTCTGGCATCAGACTACTGAAAGATTATTGTTTCAGAAAGCCTAAGGTTTCAGAAATTTCAAAGTACTCAAAACGAATAAAAAACTGTTGATTTCATCCAACTACCTGCAGAGATTCAGTAAACTTAGCCAGAAACACTATAAAATGCACTGGAGATTAACAAGCATGATAACACCACAGCACTACTCAGTTTCCACAGGTGAAACCAGAGGAGCTGCGCGTGCTCTGCGCTTTCCTGGAATCAAGCCACCACAGCACAAGCGGAACAAGCGCTCTATGACCGACTTGCCCACAGCAGAGCAGAGGTATGAGGTGTGCCTATTAGAGCTGCCTGGTGTATTTATAGTCCCAGAAGATTATACAGTCAGAGATACTAAAATGAAGGTCAACTCATAAATCCACATTTCCGTATCAGTGCTCACTTGTGATGCTGGAGCATGGGCAGCAGCCATGCTGAACAGCCACACACCGTTAGTTCCCAAGGCTGCTGTGTCTGCACTGCACCTGGCAGACGTGGCCCACCCACAGCCAAAGCATCCCATTTGAGGACAAAAAACATTTTTTGCTGATCTGAGATCACAGGCAATACCTGTGCCAATCATTACATTTGTATGTTATGTGGCAATTACAATATGAGCATTTTATAAAAGTAAACATGCACATACTTTCATTTACTTAAATATTTTGCACAAGTTAAAAAGGAAAAAAGATACTGATGAGTAATATGACTGAAGGGAAAACAAAAATTATGTTTCCTCACTAATACAGGCATGGCATTAAAGGAAGAAGGTATGTTAGCAAAGAATACAACAGAAGAACCCCTACCTGAACAATTACGCACAGTAAGTCTACAAAAACTTATTACTTCTCTTTTCCAGCGGTCTCCATTTCTACTGACTTGACACAGGAAAAATAAATTGACTGATCACACTGCTGCTATTTGGACAACCACTTTTCCATAACAAATGTTTCTTTACAAAACTGAGCAGAATGTCAGTAAAAGCAGCCTCTTGCTACTGCTTATAGCCTTCTCTTTGTTAGTTTTAATTAATGTGTCTCTCTGCCTCTCAGCGTTAACTGGAGATGGTTCAGGGTCATTCATATTGAGACATCATTTTAAGTCAAGACCAAGCAGTCACACTTCAGAGAAGAATATTTGTGATGCCACAGCAATACTTAAGAAAATGCACTGCCTGTATGAAAAGGCCAGGTAAATAAGAAACTTATAAACAGTCTTTATACGGATGCCTTTACATGAGCACCTGTGAAGTTCTTCCACTCCAAAACAGCCGAGCAAATTTACCAGCTCGAGGATTAAATACCCATGCAATAAAAGCCTTGTGACAAAGCAGCATGAAAGCCTACGCTTGCAAGGTTCTGCAGCGTGCACATTTACTTTCCTCTAGGCAAAAATACAAAAGAAATCATTAAAGACACCTGGCCTTAACAAAAAGCTCGGGATTTCCGTGCAAAAGAGAGAACTACCGTAACTCTAGAGATATAAACTTATGCCGGAGGAGAAACGGACTAGGTCGCCAGACGCTCGGCCATAGCATGCGGAACAGTTGAGTGACGATTATTCCCAGCTCGGGCAGCATGCTAGCTTGGGGGTGAGGAGCTGAGCTCCCACCAGCGACGAAGGGTCAACCCTCGGTCCCGAGCGGAGGCTGCCGCTCCTCTGCCCGCCGCGGGATCTGACCGCGCCCGGCGCCTCAGCCCCGCTCTGCTCCCGGCCCGGCCCGGCCCCGCTCCCCGCCAGCCCCAGCCAGCCCCGCCGGCGGCAGCGCCCTCAGCATGAGCACGGCCCGGGCGCCCCCCGAACACCGAGCAGGGCCGGCGGAGCCGCCACACCCGCCCGCGGCCTCAGGGCAGCCCCAAAGCCAGCGCCGGACACAGCGCGACAGGAGGGGGGACAGCCCCCGGCCCCGCACACACACCCCCTCCGCCCCGCCAGGCCCGGCCCGCAGAAGGATACTGAAGACGGTACGCTCCCAGGGCTCCAGCATGTAGAGCGCGGTGACCAGCAGGTACTGGTAGTACAGCCACGACATCTGCTTCCACGCCGAGCCCAGCGCCATGGCGCTCCCCCGCCCGCCAGCGGCCCCGCACCGGGCCCAGGCCGACCGGAGACGGGGGCGGTGCAGCCGGGACCGCCCTCCCCCGGCCCCGCCCTGTGCCTGTGCCCGCCGGCCGCGGCCGCCTGCAGGGAGGCGCTGGGGCCTGTGGGGCCGGAGCGCGGCGGCAGTGTGGAGCTCCCGGAGTCGGGGAGAGCGGCAGCGCGGTACGGCGGAGGCGTGCTCAGCTTCGCCGGCCCTTCCCGCTGAACKCCGACATCGGGCCCGATCTCATTAAATTACACGGCTGACCCTGAACCTCGTAACCTCCCAGCCTGAGTCACACCGAGGAGATGGTGCTGCAACCTACTTTCTCTCATCGTTTTTAATCTAAATTGACGTTCTGGGAATCACGGAAGATCCGAAGGCTGTGCTTGGCAGGGCCTAAAGAAGGCATGTTTAAAATCGTCTGCATGAGTCTTCAGCTTCGTTCCACTGTCAGAGGGTAAAGCCCACCCMAAAAAACTGACTCAGATAAATGCTGCTTTGAAGACGGGCCAGCTCTGGCGAGATTAATCCATRTGAATAGAAAAAACAAAGAGGTGATAAGGCAACTGTTTACTGTAACAGTTCCCAGCTTTGCACTTTCCTACAGCACCCGGAGCCAGAAAACAGAGGGTGTGGGACAGCCCTGCCCTGACTGCTAATTGGCCTAAGAGAAGTTCCCAGAGACTGGTGTGGGAATTCGTGATTAGCAAGGCCCTTGGCGGTTTATTCTATAAGGCACGCGTTTGAAAGCYTGCTGGAAGGAGACATACACAATCATCAGGCACCTTAAATCAGCAGAGCATGTGTTGCCACCTCCRGGCACTGAGGCCAGGCCACCAGTCTGGACCACACATTCAAAGTGTGCACAGCATAGATCAGAAACTGGAAATGATCCACTATACTCACTCTGTTTAGTAAATCAATTTGCAATTATGTYGCTGAACATTGTGATTCTGTCCTTGTAGCCACCCCTCCTCTACCTTCACCTGTTTCACACAATGAAAAATAAAGAAATAAAACCACAGGAGAGTGCACACATACATTATTTATACAGCTGCAAAATTACAACTACAGGACCAGGAGATAACTGAAAAAGAAAAGAGCAGCTGGTAAAGAAAACTTAAGACTGTACTTTTTGCATGGCAAAAAGGAATCTGAAATGGGGTTTAATTCACCCTGAAGACAATTAGACACCTTTATCTATGCAGAATTATTTCAACACAAGGAGAAATGAGAGCATTCACACAGTAAATACCCCAACACAACTGCCCATGGGAGCTGTTGCCCCTATCCAAGTCTGCTGTTGCTTGTTGCAGTTGCTGCTGGAAGAGTCCTGTCTTGGTGTTGCTGCTTGAGTACACGGTAGTAAAATGAAAGGCGCCTTTCTGTATAAACATGTCCAAAGTTCAAGGACAAGTGGGATATTCAGCACAACTAAATCATTACTCCCCTTCAAAGCTRCAAGAACATTATCAACGTGGAGCAAAGAGTCCTCAGTCCTCTCAGCTCCTATCTGCAGAGCTTCCTAACAAGCTCTGCAATTCAAGTGGAAAAGCAAGAAAAATGCAGCAGCAAGAAAGGACCTGTGATGAGAGGAAAAATAATGCCTASAGGCATGTTGGCTTGAAAATCTGCATCTGCCCTAACCCACCAAGGAGGTGGCCCCTTATACTTTTTGGTATGGTGCATACTCATGAGGTTTTTTGCTAGTTACTCCCCTATGGAAATGGACAGTATTCCTCTGTATAGTTTCCCCTCCTTCACCAGCTCCATTCTATGCCTCCTTAGGGACTGTCATCATGTAATTGTTCCTCCTGATACCACCTGCATTGACACTTGAGCCCCTGAACTACATTCTCACGCGCTCATGTTTCCAGCAGGTCAGTGCAAACATCCTTGACCTGGCGCTACAGACAGCCTTTGTGTTTCACCTGGAAAGTGAAGAGAGCTAAATTGAGGCCAGCATGCTCTAGAGCACAGACCATATCCCCTGTTACATGTGTTCCTCCACACTTCTACCAAGAAAGTTCTTCGTACATTCAAATTTTTCTGTATACACTTCTTGGCTCATGGCACACAGTAAGAATTTATCCCACTTTAGGTGATCCCACAGCCATCTGATACTGCAAGTCAGAGACTTCACTAATGAGTCTGACTATAGGTAGCAAAGATGAGATTGAATTCTTGTTTCATGCTTATCCCAAGCCTCAGAACCACTATAGCTCCATTTTGTTCATAGGTTGCAAATGCAGAGGAAGGCGTAGCAKACTGACCAAACAAAAGTTCAGCAGATGCATCAACAGTTCTCCACTTCATCAAGCAGAGGTTAATTTGAAAGGTTTGAGGTTGATTTGAAAATAGTAATTCAATGTTTTTCTTATGTAATCCTGACAGAAGAAACAGTTTATTCCTTATCTCATGTAACAGAATGGGTGTGTGTATATTAGTAAAATACCACACCAGAGACTACAAAATGTAACCAAAGAGTCACAAGGTTTTATTATAATCCAAGGCACAAAAGATGTTATTCAGGTTCCTACCTCCTAAGTTTAAATATTTCTGACAATTCCTCAAAGCACATATGACAAAATTATTCCTAGTACTACGAGRAAAAAAAAAAAACCMMMAA